ATAAATGTAATATATAAAATTTATATATAAATAAATCCTTACTCTATATATAATTAAAAATAAAAAAACAAAGTATTAATAATTAAATTAAGTTTATAATTGATATAAAAATAATTATTATAATATCACAAAGAAGTTTGAATCTATGCCATCTCTGTCAATATTTCTTTCTCTACTAATTTGTACTTTAGTACATTAAATAAAATCAAGAACAAAAAATATTTTGATCCGCACGTTTGGATGCAGTAGTATTGACTTGATTTAGTGGAGGAGCAGTTTTTTTTTTTTTTTTGACAAAAACAATGATAAATAAGTTAGTTTTATTAATTATTAGTAACTGAATATTCGATATTTAAATCTGATAAATATCTCATCTTCCTCAATGAGACACGCGTTGCTCATCGGACTACTTGGTGGAGTTGCAGTGGAGGAGCAGTTGATTCAGCAATTTCTAATCTTCATGTGTTTCATTCATTTTAGGTTCTATCAATTTTATAACAACTATCTCCAACATACGTGGACCTGAAATGACTATGCGTAGATCACCCTTATTTGTGTGGTCCGTTCCAGTGACACCTTCGTGAGTTGCAATTTCAAAGTTGTAATTTCAATTTTCAAGCCTCACGGATTCCTTTCTCTTCTCCTTTTATTTTCTTTTTTAATTGTAATCATGTCCAAGAACAAAACAAAAAAAGATTTTAAATCTTATCTGGGATATTTTTCTTTTCTTGGTTTATCTAGTTATAAAGTAATATTTTAAGAAAAGAAAATGCAAAGTGGGGGCGGTTCAGATATCGACGTGGGATTGGTTCGTCCAAAAAATTAATTAATTTACCTTAAAGTTTTACTCTTTTTTTCTTTTCTTTTTTTCATTTAATTAAATGACGTTAAGTTCACAGTTTGCGGTCCGTCTATGTCTTTCCTAACCCGATTTTGACGGTTCAGATCTAACCGAACGGTAGTGGGAACTAGGATGGCACCAGCCACTAGCTTCTTCACGCCTCCCACAGTCCGCCAAACACACTTTTATTAAAAAAATGGAAATGCAAAAGTTAAACCCTCCAGAAATTTAGCTCTTATTTTTGGTTTTTTTCTTTTTGAGAAATCAGCCCCTCAAATTTTTAACTTGTAAAAAATTTGCCCCCAATGTGGACGATTATGTAATGCACCTAATGAAAACCGAAACGATAGCATTTCATTTACCTTATATAATATATATATATAGAGGATTCTTTTACAACATGGGGCAAATAACATTTAATTATTAATCTTAAAAAATTTATTTAAAACAAAATTTTAAGAATTAAGAAAATAAAATTTTGTAATTTTTAAAAATAAATTTTTATCGTTTATTAACTATTTTTCATTTAAGTTTTAAAAATAAAT